CCACTCAGTGGAAATGGGCCATAAACTTTGAATAAAACAGTTCCATTCATTTGTCGAATACGTCCACATAATTCAATTCACATGTCTGTTCCTGCTGTTGTTGTTGCATTTATGTAAGAAAATAAAACAGAAAAAAATTATATCACGTCAGAACTACTTGCATACTGCCTTTCTTGACCCTAATCTCCATTTTGATCACCAATTTATTGACAGAATTGTGCAAAGTTAAATCTTTAAAATGACAGCAGACATATCTTTTTTCTATATTTCTTCTTTAAAGCTTAAACACAGACAAAATAAAAAACTAATTAAACCAACATAACACTTAATTAAAAGCTGAACTACACAAAGATGGTGTTGTTATAGCAATATTTCTTTTTTTATATGACCACTAGACTGCTTCTGATATGCATTAGCTTAGCTGGCTTACAGTTTCATGTGCAGTATGTTAATAAAACACTGAATGCAGGCACAGCAATTTAATGCCAAACACCTACATACATTTACACCTGTATTTAAATCTAAAAAAAAGAGAAGCTATTAACACATTTGAAGATCTGTTTTCGAAATATATCGTCCTGCAAGAACCAATGTGTGTGTTTCTGAAGCCTACAAACAGAGATGAAATGTGTATTAGTTGTATTTAGTATTTGCATGTTGTGTGTGCTGTTCTTTAATGAACTGACAGCACAAGCGAGAATCTATTCGCAATTTATTAAGCAAATCTCACACAATATGCTCAATTTGGACCCAGTTAAGGGCAAAGAGATACACTTTACTCTACTCTAATGGGGATGTCAGTAGATGCTGGAGATAATAACTGTTAGTTTACACTGTAGATAATGATTAATTCAGCTGCATTTCAGCTGAGCTGGCAAGCTGACTAAAATTGCAACACAATACAGCGTAAGTAGTGTGCCTGAACTCCAAATCTGAAGGAGGAATAAAGCAAAGTGAAAAATAACCTGACTAATGGACTGTGATAACCTATACAATAACATTCTCTGAAAAAGGAAGTCGGGGGAAAAATCCTGAAGGTCTCTTTTATCATTGACATGAATACTTGTATGAGTGAGAGAAAATGACAAGGCTTTCTAACTCTGCCAGTTTGGTTCTTCAAGGTAGATTTGTGACTGACAATCACAAAGCGGTACAATACTTGTAAAATATTCTAACTGTGTGGGGTGCAATAAACTTCACCCCTGACAGCACACATTTTAAGGTATAGCTCAAGCCACAAATGAAAAATTTGCCGTTATTTGCTCATCCTCAAGCAAAAATCACAATAAAAGTATTGTTCTTGCACTACAGGCTTCCTACTGAGATTTTTGTCACAAACAGACCAGCATTTGAGCCATTACTTACTGGTACGCTGACGGTAAGCGCTTAACTCGAGATCCCCTACAAATGAATCTGTTTGATGAACAAATCACGCTCAGCCTGATCCTACATGAGATCAACTGGTTCTTTAAAAAGAACTTGTTCAACAGAACTACGTGTTCCTCGGGCTGTTCTCAAATTCAACTCACTCGAAGGTTGGGGCAGTTCTCGATTAAACAACTCACTAGAGGGAAACATTACTATATAATGAGTATACAAACTTCATTTTGAACTGATCCTTTTCCATAAAAAACTATTGTAAAACCTCCAAAGAGAAGAAATAGAGCACAAAAAGTGTACTGATCTCTTTTGTGGTGCTTTTGTGAAATTTGTCTGGTAATTTCTGGATATTTACAAACACTGTAAAAAATAAAACAACTGGTTCATTTAAATGTCATGATTTTTTATGTGCACTGACATGATGCTGAGTAAATAATAAAATAATTTCAGGGGTTATATATATATATATATATATATATATATATATATATATATATATATATATATATATATATATATATATATATAAATAATAAATCAGAATAATCAGCCCCTGGATTATTAGCCCCCCTGTTTAATTTTTACCCCAATTTCTGTTAAACGGAAAGAAGATTTTTTAGGCTTAACTAGGTTAATTCGTTCAACTAGGCTGGTTAGGGTAATTAAGCAAGTTATTGTATAACGATGGTTTGTTCTGTAGACTATTAAATGCATATATAGCTTAAAAGGGCTAATAATTTTGACCCTTAAATGGCTTTTAAAAATTAAAAAACTGCTTTAATTCTAGCCGAAATAAAACAAATAAAACTTTCTCCAGAAGAAAAAAAATATTATCAGACATACTGTGAAAATTTCCTTGCTTTGTAAAACAGCATTTGGGAAATATTTAAAAAAAGAAAAAAATTCAAAGGGGGGCTAATAATTGACTTCAACTGTATATATAGACAGTGTTTGTATGTGGGTTTAAGGGATGCAACAATTAACCGATTTCACTATTAACCACGGTTTAATCCACCACGGTTGATTAATTGTAAAGGCTTCTCAACACCACGTTTCTACATGGAACAAGATTGCTGCGACTAAGTTATTCTAACTGTGCACTAGTTTGATGTTCCGAGCTTGTACACCAAAGCTAATACCCAAGCACACTGGATTAACTATGGCTGAGGCTATTAACTAAGAGCCGTTCACCTGATGCATCTTTTGCTTGGCAAGTTTATTATTTCCAATGGAGGCATGCGACTTGCGCGTGGATATTGGGAGCTTTCCAGGCACACCTAGTTGAAAGAATGGCACAAGTGCACCATGAGTCACGTGTCAAGAACTGACCTACCAGCTTCATACTTTGTCTGTAATATACACATTTTTACTCCAAAGAGGAAAAAAAGATGAAAATACCAAACAATCCTGTAATATAGTTGATCAAAAGTTTTTTTTCACTTGTTTTAAGTCCAAAGAAAAATTGGATATTGTTTATTTAATTATTATTTTGCGCTGTATTATTTAGTTACTGATTAGCAACAAATAACACGTTAAAAATATAAGGAGTTTACATGTTTACATGTGATTTTCTAAACTAGTAGTGTTTTGAAATTAATGAAAGCATAACAATAGGAAAACTGTGAAACCGTGATTATTCCTCAGACTATAATCGGAGAACAAAATCTATAATCGTTGCATCCCTAGAGTGTTTCCGTACAATTTGACTAAACGTTTTGTTCAAATGTAAATATATGCATGTGCATAATAATGCCTCTTGTACATCATCTTCTAATCTTTTGGCAGAAGTCTGTGTCATTTTCGGTAAAAAAAATCTTGCTGGTTGAATAAAATTATATTACTAATTGAAAAAATAAATTATTAATTGATAAGTGATAGCTAAGTGCTTTAGTTTAATATCGTGACATGGCAATGATATTTAGTTCAAGCATTTTTTTATCGTCCTACTAAATGACATCTGCTGTCCTGAAACACAACAACAGTAAGCAGGTGGCCACCCTAGTTATGTCTTCTTGATGACAAAATGCATGTTGATAAAGACAGCACATGATTAGTCAGGAAGCAACTTGTAATTTGTGACTCTACAAGATTTTAGGAGTAAAAATTGGCACAGTGGCTGCCACAACAGACAAAATTATTGTGTCGTTTTAACCCAGCATTAGGTAAACCAGCAGTAGGTTACCTCAGTTCGGCTGGTATTGTTTGTTGTAAGTGGAGTTGTGAGAGTTAAGTAGAGCGATATGAGATGATGTTCACAGATAGTACATTCAATCATCCCAGGACTGTTTGGAATTTTTAAGAGTTCTTTTAATTATTTTCATAGTAAATCCTGTTTAATCCTGTGTGTTTGACTTGGGGGATATTGACACCAGGAAAGTCCTTTAGTTCACTCAGTTTGGTCTGGACCAAGCACAGAGTTTATTTGTTTTGGCACTGTTGGCTTTCACACTTCCCTTTTTGCAAGTGAACCAGAGCAAGGAGCAAAAGGAAGAAATGTGCGAAAACAAGCTGATCGTAAAGGGTGTTCGTGGTGCATTTGTTATTATTCCTCTGAAATTGTATTATCAGCTACAAGCATTATATGATGTCAGTTATGAACATCAGATAAGTCAATCAATGTTATCAATATGATGTCACTACAAGGAAGAGCTCCAGGTCAAACTGCTAATCGTTTTCAAATGGCAAGCAAATATAATACAATTCTTTCCCATAATGCAACAGAAATTCTGGGAAAACTCAAAAGGTGCAGGGATTTCTGACGTTTTTAACATTGAACAAACTATTGAAACATTAATCCAGAGATGCCCAAACTAGGGCCTGCAGGCCAAAGTTGGCCTGTGGTAACCTTTGATTTGGCCCACTATGCCATCTGGGGGATGGTTTAGAGATTGTCAATTCAAACTGAATGTAACCCTTTGTTTGTTTGTTTGTTTGTTTGTTTGTTTGTTTGTTTGTTTGTTTGTTTGTTTGTTTGTTAAAATATAACTGAAATTAATTGTTTAAATTAAATGGTGTAATTTAATCAAACTGTTTTAAATGTACATACTGTCACCTGACAGTGCAGAGACTTTGGTGAGCAAATCAAGTCAAAGGCAGATTCTGCTTGACTATTGTATTCAGCATTGAATACAATCTCAATAAATGTGATTGTTTATGTTTTTATTGCAATATGTTATAGCTTTAAAAGTTATACTGCATTAGATAAAACAATTTAAAGAAATATTTTCTAATCCTTTTGAAATATTAGCAAATTAATTAGGAAATCACCTATGGCAACATTAATGTAATATAGTTTTGGTAATTATATTTGGATTTTGGCCCTTCAAACGAAAAAGTTTGGCCACCCCTGCATTAAACAAACTATACCAGAGTTTGTTTGGAAGTAGACCAAGAGCACCTATTTTACTGGGTCTTGGTTCATTTGTTTTGTGAGCACCAGAGTGTGATTGCTGTATTCACACCTACCCAAAGATCAGTATCAAAGAGGGAAACGAACTGGAGTTTGATTCAATGGAACAAAACAAGACAGGTTTGAATACACCCATAATTACCAGTGAATCAACAACTATCATGCTAAAAAATACGTAGCATTAATGAGTTTAAATCGAAAGGTAACTCACCAAAGCCCAGTCTGTTGTCATTGTTTCCAAAGTCGAGAGAATATATGACGACATGGTAGTTGTTCCACACATACAGCAAGTTGTCTCTGGGATTGTAGTCCACGGCTGCGATGTATTGGTAGGAATTTGGAAATGGGATGCTAAGATGCGTTTCACGGCTCTTCTCTGTGTTGTACATGTAGTCAATTTTATTCCCTAGAGCTTCATTATCGTCATCTTCGTAAACACTCTTCACGACATAAAGGATTCCGCAGATCATGAAGGCATTGGAGGCTGATCTCTTATCGTATGATGTATCCCATGAGCCCTCCACTCTGAGTGTGTAGGGGTTGAGCTGACTGACCACGATTCGGCCATTGTTCTGTTCGGTGGCATAAATCACCCATAGTCCATTTTCATCCACTGCGAGATCAATGTCAGACTTTCCACCCCAGCGATATGGCGAGGTGTCATGGTAATTAGCGTTAGCGATAATTGCCTCACCACTCTTGATACGAGTTCGCAAGTCGAATTTAACAATGTTGCGTGTACGTTCCTTGTTGAAGAAAAGCGCGCCATCATACACCACAAACCCAGTGCCGTCCACCCGATGGGGCAGTTTGTATGTGGTGGTAGGGCGACCTGCAATAAAGTCCTCCTTAGATGAATACTCAGTCAGTGTGTCTGTGCGATACGGTGTCCAGGGCATGTAGTAGATCTTATTGGATGACTGTAAGGGGTCCTTACACCATGATCCAGCCTGGTGGTCTGATTCGAAGAGATGTTCACTCTGGTACACGCCTCTCAATACACCTGGGCAGAGAAAGACTGAAAAGGGAAGAGACACAGTGAGGTCTCACACATTTAAATAGAATGCATTAGTAATTAGTTTATTCTTTCACTGACATGGACAGAAGCAGACACTGCTTTATGGTAGAGGGCATTGTTAGGGGCCATTCACATATCACATCGCACGTCATGATTTTGCCAAGTACGGTGCGATCCTGGATCAACATCTACATTGATCCTGGAACATCATATTTGTTCAAAAATGTAATCCATACCTATTCCCTACCCCTAAACCCAACCATAACTGTAAATTGTTTCCAAAATCAGTTGGATAACAAACATGTAGAAGTCCATAAACCTAACTGTAAACATAAACGTTAAATGTATCCCTTAATTCTGATTGGCTGATTGGAATGTTGTTCCAGGATCAACATAGATGTTACATCAGGAACATGTCCTACTTGATAAAATCAGGTTGGCGATATCACATCCTTTTTGCATGCAAGATTGTTATTTCAAATAGAGATGCACAGCATGTGCTGTATGCGCATACAAATAGAGAGTGATGCGCTCATGACATGCACCCCCTTTTTCCAGATGCACCTACAGCACGGTCTGTTAAAAACATCTCAACTTATCAGAATACCGCAAGTGAACCGTGAGTTATGTGACAAGAACCAACCAAACAGCTTTGTACTATGAATGGAATTTACACATTTCAGTAATAACAGTAGACCAAATGTTATTAGTAGTACATACTGCCAAACGCAGAGCACCCAAACACTGCAGCACGTTTAAGTTTCCTTCATAAATAAAACTTGTATCAGAGCCACAGAAATTGTTTGTCAGTGTTGAATCCTCAGAGAGCAAGGTTGATGCTTGCATAGCTACAAAACATGTCACATGAGCACGACCTGGCGAAGAACATTGAAATTGGCGAAGGAATTGATTCACCACGCATTTTCTATGCAGTTTTAGATGCGATGTGTAAACAGCCACTTACACTATTATCTTCTCAAATAGTACAAAGTCACTCAATCAAAAAAAGTGAAGCATTGGAATTGTATGTAATCTAACGAGATAATAAATAACACAAAAACTGGCATACATTAACAAACAAAGAAACTTAAGAGTGCTGATGGATTTTACATGATCTATTTCTGATCATCATGTTTTACAGCATGTTTAGATATCTATTAAGCAAAATATACTGCCTGCCATTAAAGTATTATTAAAATGATCAACATTGCTTGAACTGGCAACCAAAAAATAAATATATAAATAAATGAATAACACTTGTGGGGAAAGAATTTTAATTCATTGGTGGATTAAGACAAAGTATGGTCACAGTTTATTTGGATGTTCGGTTTGTTAAATTTAAGTTACACTGTATCCACATGCCAACTAATTTTCATTAGATTATAAGTAGACTTTAGATTGGGGTTAGGGTTGGGGTTAGGGTTAGTGCAAGTTGACATGTACTTGCAAGGTTTCTTATAGTCAGTTAAATGTGTGTTTACCAGCAGTATCAACAGCTAGGCAGACAGTCTACTTATACTCAAATGGACCATCAAAATAAAGTGTTACCCAAAGTATTTTTATTTCACTAATGTACTTAAGTATTTTAACTTTATCACGTTTTTTTATTTATTTATTTAAGCAAACCTTTCTCCACTATGTTCCACAACAAACATTTTCATAAGTGTAGCTGAGTAAAAAGTTAATTTGAAGTGGAGAAAATAAAGTGGAGAGAAACAGATAGTGGTGTTTAATTCTTGAACAAGCTTAATTTGATCAGTTAACATGTTAAACTATTTCACACATTGCACTGATTAATTAATTTGTAAACTGAACTGACATCTGTTCACGACTCACCAACTTTGTCAAGTCATGAACTCACTGATTCAAATGATTCATTCAGAGTCTCCAGTAAACTGCTCAATGATTCAAATGATCTGTTCAGAGTGATTTTTCAGTAAATGTTTCACTGATTTTACAAACTGATTTGAATAGGCTTCAGCATGAGAATGTTTTCACTTGAAGTATCATGAATAATCTTTGTGATTATTAAAGCAGTGGCAACACGGTGGTGCAGTGGGTAGCATAATCGCACATGCTGGAATTTATTCAGTGAATGAGTTTCCAAACGTGGAGGCCGCTGGCTTGTTTGTGAAGACGAAACCGGACTGAAACGTTGTTTGGAGAGTCTCCTTTCTGCCGGCTTGTGTTGTTTGTGTTGTGAAGTAGAAACTGTGTTGTATTTACTCGGTTAAATTGTTGAAAGTAAACTCTGAGTGATTACTTTGAGATCTATATGAAGACACGTGTGCTGAGGAGGGTGCCTTTTTGTTTTATTACATTTTTCTTATGTTTTTGTGGTTAGTAGGGAGTTAAGTGAATGTGATTTGATTTGTTACATTATGGGCCCTATACACCTGGTGCAATGTGGCCCAAGGCGCGGCGCAATAGTCTTTTGGTAGTTTCAGCTTGGCGCAAGAGTAGTTTTGAGGCGTTGCGCTACGCTGTTTAAATAGTAAATGCATTAGGCGTTCTGGTCTTAGGCGTTAGACGGACCGCTGCTGCGTTGCTATTTTGAGAAACTAAAATAGATTTTTCATTAGACCAAAACAAACCCGGTCTAAACTCCAGCGCAGAGTTGCGCCTCACTTACACACTGCTTAATACGCACAAGAGAGCAATAGGCAAATATCTTTACATATGGAAAAATTTGAATATTAAGGATATACAGTTGAAGTCAGAATTATTAGCCCCCTTCAAATTTTTTTCTTCTTTTTAAAATATTTTCCAAATGATGTTTAACAGAGCAAGGAAGTTTTCACAGTATGTCTGATAATATATTTTTCTTCTGGAGAAAGTCTTATTTGTTTTATTTCGGCTAGAATAAAAGCAGTTTTTAATTTTTTAAACACAACTTTTGGGACAAAATTCTTAGCCCCTTTAAGCTATAATTTTTCTCGATAATCAATAGAACAAACCACTGTTATACAATAACTTGCCTAATTACCCTAACCTGCCTAGGTAACCTAATTAATCCAGTTTAGCCTTTAAATGTCACTTTAAGCTGTGTAGAAGTGTCTTGAAAAATATCTATTAAAATATTATTTACAGTCATCATGGCAAAGATAAAATAAATCAGTTATTATAGATGAGTTATTAAAACTATTATGTTTAGGAATGTGTTGAAAAAATTTGCTCTCCGTTAAACAGAAATTGGGGAAAAAAAATAAACAAGCGGTCTAAAAATTCAGGGGGGCTAATAAATCTGACTTCAACCGTATATATAGGATATAATAACAATAGATATAGGATATAAATATAAAGGATTAAAATATTACAAAACATATTATTTTCTAGCCTACATAAATATGAAAAACCACTGCTTTATGTCTTCTTCATCTCAGGAGGCTTTTTCAGTTCATTCATAACAATTTGCTTTTGTATAATGTTATTATTATTAGCATTATTATTTATTATATCCATATTCATATTTGTTTTATTAAAAACAAGCTTAGATTTGCCCACCTGTCAGGTTTTAGACCATATGGGGCACAGCATGTGTTTTATAATATAACTCAGGTTTTTAAGCACACTTCGTTTCTATTGTTCATTTACTCATTTGCTGGAAATTAGATCTGAATTTAGAAATAGTTTAGAAACAAATATTTGCGCTTAACAAACATAATTAATTATTTATAGACTAACTGATGTCTATGCATAAAGGTTTCCCTATCCAAGAGCGAAAGTGAAAGTAGATCATTTATCTCTCATTCTCACGCAGTAGATGCTCTGTTTAACAGTTTTCTGTTAAAAAAAACTGTTAACTGTTTGCTAGTGAAATACTCATTTTTTCCACTTAGACTTACTTTACGTCCTGTAAATAGCGAATGCGCTTATGGCGCGACGCAGCTGACTCTTAAAGGGAATGGGAGATGAGACTCTAATTGGTTTATTCTCAAAACACACCTATAACTCATTAAGAAAATAAACTCAACCCTTTTAGACTATGCGCCACGGCACAAAGCGGATTTTCCCGTCCTTAAATTAGCAAAAATGCGTTCTGACATGCCCTGAAAGCGTTTGCGCCCTGCGTTTTGCGCTCTGCGCATGGACCGTCAAAATAGAGCCCTATATGTGTAGGTAAGAGGTTTAAAAACTTTATTGTTTAAAAACAATAAAGTAAGAGGTTTAAAAACTTTAGTTATTGCGTTTTGTTTGTTGTTTTGGCATTTACCTACGCAAGCTTTTTATTATATCTTTTTGAAGTCTAAACGTCAAATAAATTTGACATCACGCAATTTTCTTGGTTATTCATCTTTGTTTTTTGTTTTTTTTTTATTTTTCTTTTGAACAGGAGATGAGACTGCTCATTAATTTAGAGGAGTTCTAATTATTTTATTTAATATTATTTTACTGTTGCTGTGTGGAGCCAAGCAAGATTAGAATTCATAACATGTGTGAATAAATGTGTATGGATGTTTCTCAATACTGAGTTGCAGCATGAAAAGGCATCCGTTGTGTAAAAAATATGCTGTTAAGTTAACAGTTGATTCCGCTGTGGCAACTCCTGATGAATAAAGGGACTAAGCAGAAGGAAAAAAAAATTATGAATAAATTATTAAGTATGAGTTTAAGTTTTGGTTAATAACATTTTCTTGCAAAATAAGCATTCATCAATACTTTTACTTTAATGACTTAAGTAAATGTAAAATCAAGTACTTTTTACCTTAACTAAAGTTGTATTAAAAAGGAGGGCTTTATATTATACTATACTTTATACTATAGGGTATCTGTACTTTTACTTAAGTGCCCGACTTCATCTGCCACTGTTAAAATTACATACAAAATCAGTTGACACAATGGCCTACTGAACTCTCCTTCTTTGTGATCATGTTTTTAATTTATGAATTAAAATTCATGTTGATATTTGAGGACACAAGGTCAAAAAGTTCAAGGTGATACAATTGTGTTAATATTAGGAAATCTCAAAAAGCTGCTGCTGACTTTTACAACTCTGTGTT